AAAAAGAAAAAAAGCTGATACTAAAGACTCCACTGTAGTAGATGAGAAGATAGGAAGGGAGAATACACAGGGTTATTTAATTTATATGTGTAAGCAACGATAATAGAAGGCTATCGAAAACGATTCGGAGCAAACTTTGGTTACACATTTAAAAATTTCGTCAAAATTCAATATTATACAATAGAAAAAAAAAAAAAAAAAAACACTAAATTACACTTAATTTTTTTTCGACCAATAATTACTACATAAAAGAACCTAATGTCAAAGTTTCTGTTTAGTCCAACAATTTCATCCACAGACCAAATACCAAATAGAAATTACGTAAACGTCTTAAAAAATTAAAATGTCTAAAATTAGGTCAACAATTTCACCACATGTATAAAAAGCAAATATGTGTTTTCTGGTCTCTACAAATGTTTTTAACTGAATTACAAAAAAAAAACAACATTTAAAATAATACAAGTATTATTTTCGTATTTTACATTTTCCCGGTCTATCTACGCTTTTCTTGGTTTTACTCAATTTTTTAAAAAAATTTAAAATTTAAAAAAAAAAACAATAAAATCGGCAACTTTGTTGTGTGCCATAAATATTTGTCGGTTTACCTATAATTTTGTTTCCGGTTTTTCCCAATTATTTTGAAAACTCCTTGGAAATAAAACAGGAGAGTCATAAAAAGTTTTACTCGGTGGTTATGTATAATGCAGTCATTTTTTTTTTTTTTTTTTTTTTTTTTTTTTTTATAAGAGTTAATATCAAATTTTGACGAAAATCGTAAATAGGTATTACCGCCGTTCAAAATACGTGTAACCGAACTTCGCACCGGATCGTTTTTCCGTTAGCAATGGATTCTTATTGTTGGCGATTGATATAAATTAAATAACTTTGTGCGTCCCACTTTTCCGACTATTCGCCTACAACAGTGGCACCCAATCGTCCCCAGTATCGGCTATTTTTAAACATTTTATAACCGAGTATCGCGTGATGCACACAGACATTTGTGTTCTACAGCCGATCGATACGTATATTGTTATTATTGTATCGCTAAATATATCATATATTTATTCTCGCAGTCCGGCGGTCCTCAATAAACATTATTATTTACAGTTTTTTTTTTAATTCAAGTCACAAAAGTCAACAAAATAAAGCGTAATATCGATCCGTCTCAACATCTGGATTAAATAGGTCCGGTTGACCGTGAAAAATGAATGAACTAGTACATAATATTAAATATTATCTATGTGCCTAAGTGTGATAATATTTCGTTTCTCCTTTAAATACGCATTTTCCGGGAAGGACAGTTTCGGAAAAAAAAAAATTCTATTCCATAACTAAGGCTACGAATTTAATGCAGTGGAAAACTTTAAATATGAAATTAAAAATGTACAAAACGTGCAATAAAATACGTATTTATAGTCTCAAAGAATGCTATACAAAATGCGCTCAATACGGTTTTTAATTTAATTTTTATATTTATTTTGATATTACTGATATTGCCGATGTTGAAATATCGCAAGCCCACGCATAACTAATCTAAGCAGTATTGCCTTTTTTATCGAATCCCCATCTTTACCTTATCCGTATACAGCTTGTGCACAAAAATGACTAAGATTTATAAATACGAAAAGACAAGTATAATTTATGGCCTATTATATTATTACCGGGGTCATAGCCGAGACGATCACGGGTACAACGATAAATAGCTTGCTCACAGTATAACTCAGTTAACGTAACAGACGGATAAGGAATATAAAAATAATAGGTAATAATAAAAAAAAATGGAAAAATAATATGCAAATCGATTTTTAAAATATATACGTCATTATCCCGTAATACACGGTCCCATCCGGACACACGCACCTATCGCAATGTGCCGCGCCCACAACTCGGGGCAAAAGATCGAAGAAAGCCATAAGATCGGTGCTATTTTTCGAATATTATTTAAATTTTTTAGAGAGAAGCGAATACTTGTGAGAAATACCACAATTTAATAATACTTATATGTTTATCACTTTAAAAATATATCAAAAAAAAAATATCACCGTCACTATACAGATAATATTCTTATCTTTAAGTTTGACAATAAGTTAATTCCTCTAATATCAAAACTAAAAACAGAAAGTTGTACCTGCTGAACGTAAATTTGCTACATTGTACGTTTTCCGTTACATATATTGTATATCTTTTTTCACGATCGACACTGTACGATTAAAGATTTAAATTTGATACTGATACCAGTGGTGCATATAAGGGATCGCCGCCTTGGGCCATGGTTTTCTCTACTTATACCTTGTTTTGGGATGAAATGAAACAAAATAGGTAGAAAACGGAAAAGGCAGGATATTTAAATATATTTAATTTAAATCTTTAAACAACTACTTTAAACCTTACGATTCTGAGCAAATTTCACTTAACACATGTATAAAAATACCGTAATATTAACTATTTTTATCAAAATTTTATTTAAAAATGATTATAAAAAAAATTCCACCGCTCAACAATATTTTCAGAATATTTTGAACATTTTACTACGTCTATAAAAGGCCAATATAAGTTTTCTGAGAAAATTTCAATTCTACGAATATTTTTAACTGAACTACAACAAACAAATAAAATTGAAAATAATAAAACCAATATTTCCGTAAACTTTTCGTTCTTTCTACGTTTTATTTTCCGATTTTGATCTATTGTTAACAGAACTTACACGGAAAATAAAAAAACGACTTTTATACTCACTAGCTAGATCCAAAACTCAGCAACTAGGGATTCTTAACATATTTAAATTGAAGCGAGTTTTCTGGCCGAAAAGTTGTTTACAGGCAGCAAAAAATTAAATTTTATCTCTTAACGTACAGCCATGTACATTGTACACAACAATTCAATTTATTCAGTTAACCATCAATATTTTCAAGCATACATAGAAGCCGAATCTAATGAATGTAAAAATATCGATATTTATATTGTCAACCTAAAAAGTATACGAAATTAGAGCTGGCGAACGGGTAACCCGTTTCGGAGCGATCGTCTCAGGTCCGGGATCCTTTGGGACCGCCTTTGGCTCCTCGGTCAAGGCTAAAAATATCGCGTGCGCACAGTTGTTATTTTAAAGGAAATATTATATTAATTTTTCTCGCCCGCGAATACGAAACGTAATACATTTTCGAATGGCCGACAGTGAAAAACGATTTTGGGTGACCGGTAGCAACAGCTTCTATGGGTCGCTAAAACGCTTCACCGTCGTCATCGGGACATTTAAACGAATGTTTACATTGAATGATAAATTTAAAATTCCTTCAGAAATGTTTATGAGGGGGTGGGAGGGACGTAACCCCCCACGGCTTTGGTTTATGAGAAAAATCGTAGCCCCCCCAAATTCTTTAATGGATTTCTGCTTATGTTCTAAGCACAGTTCAATTGTTAATGTTGCTTTGTCAACAATATATATGTCATACTATAGTAAAACAATTACATAAGTATTATATTTTTTCTTTTATAATATTTGTTTAATATATGCATAGTGTATCTTCTTATATATAAAATTATCGTGTCACAATGTTCGTTCCCATACTCCTCCGAGACGGATTGATCGATTCTCATGCAATTTTATATGCACATTCAGTAGGTCTGAGAATCGGCTACTATCTAAGTTTGTATGCTCTGCGATAAGTGGTTCCGGAGTTATGGCCTCTTAAGTCAAAATATACTAGCACGCACGATATTCAACAATTATTATTTTGCCATGGAGAGATAATATACACTCTATGTGGTTATTTTTTATTATTGGTTTCCGTGGCACCCGCGTGCCAATAACAATTGAGAACGGCTGGCCCGATTTGGCTAATTTTGCTAACCTAACCTAACCTATGTACGTGTGTTTTGCACATATTTCAATGCCAACAAAACGCAAAGGGGCTGATTTAAACCGTAATACAAGTAAATCTCGAAGCTTGCGAAATAGAAGATCCGAAAGAACCGAAGAATAAACCCAGCAACAAAATACTGATGCACGTGTCAGAATGGCGCAATTGCGTCAAGAAGAGTCAGAAGACACACGAGCTGAACGCAATGAAGTAATAAGATTAGAACAACGACAATCACGCCGTTTCACAGTCAATAGACGCAGAACGAATGACCAACAACGACAACAGGTACATCTGATTCATTCCTGCGTCTTGCATTCCAGTATGAGCCCGATATTGAATATTATGCTCATTCAAAAGTGGTAATTGGTGCTATGGACAAGGAATGTCCGCATTGTCATGCTCTGAAATTCAAAAATGAGCCAGCTGGAATGTGTAAGAATATATACAGGATGCTCTGACTTTCGTGCGCGAATGTGGACGACCATGTTTATTTATCACGTTCACATGTAATCCAAAATGGCCAAAGATTGCATCTTTGCTATTGCCTGGCCAAAATGCAATACATCGCCATGACATTACAGCACGTGTGTTCAGACAAAAGTTGAAGTCTTTAATAAGTTTCATTACTAAATTACATGTATTCGGTCCCACACGTTGCTGGCTGTATTCGGTTGAGTGACAAAAGCGAGGATTACCTTATGCACACATTTTGGTTTGGTTAATCGACAAAATCCGTCCTGAAGAAATCGATAGTATCATTTCTGCGTAAATTCCAGATCCGTCCACTGACCAACTGCTGTTTGATATTGTCACAGCAAACATGATTCATGGCCCATGCGGTACTCTTAATCGTTCATCGCCTTGCATGGCAGATGGAAAACGGATATCCAATATATCGTCGAAGAAATTCCAATAATGGCGGACGATCATTTATTAAAAACATCAGCAACACAGACATTGACATTGACAATCGTTGGGTTGTGCCATATTCGCCTCTGCTAAGTAAGGCATTAAATGCTCATATTAATGTTGAGTTCTGCAGTTCTGTGAAGAGTATCAAATATATTTGCAAGTATGTCCATAAAGGCAGTGATATGGCTGTGTTTAGAGTGGAAAATACCAATGTGAATGCTCCTCATGCTCATTGCCAACTTACCACTCAGTCATTTCGGTATGAATTCGCCAAATCGAACTGAATCTGATTTAATGAATACTGAAATGAATCGTGAACTGCAGTACAGCACTGTAGAAATTGCAGCGATTGTTGCCCGCAATGTCCCACTAATGAATGAGGAACAAAGAACCGTTTATGATCGCATAATGCTCGCAGTTTCAGCTGGACAAGGTGGGTTCTTCTTTTTGGATGCACCGGGTGGAACTGGCAAAACATTCGTTATTTCGCTAATTCTTGCTGAAATACGATCAAATAATGGCACCGCATTGGCCGTTGCATCATCGGACATTGCAGCAACTTTATTGGATAGAGGCAGAACAGCTCATTCAGTATTTAAGCTGCCATTAAAAATTCAGAATAACCCTGACGCAGTATGCAACATTAAGAAACAATCGTCCATGGCCACCGTGCTGAAACAGTGTAAAATTATCATCTGGGATGAATGTACTATGGCACACAAACATTCGCTTGAGGCGTTGAACAGGACATTGAAAGATATTAAAAACAACGACAATCTATTTGGCGGAACTCTGTTGGTCCTTTCAGGTGATTTCAGGCAAACACTTCCTGTCATTCTACGTTCAACATACGCTGATGAGATCAACGCTTGCTTAAAATCATCTCCATTGTGGCGTAATGTTGAAAAAGTACAACTGAAAATAAATATGCGCGTTCAAATGCTTCAAGATCCATCCGCTGAAACATTTTCAAAACAACTCTTAGATATCGGTGATGGAAAAATTGCTATAATAATCAGCAAAATAATAAAAATAATCATCAAAAAAAATAAAACAAAACATAATTATAATAATCAGCACAATAATAATAATCAGCGTTATCAGAATAAGAATAATCATCACTTAAATAATAATAATGATCAGCAGCAGCAGCATAATAAGCATCAGAATCAATAATCAGTTTCATATTTTACCCAACAAACTACCAAAAATTGCCCCATTCCAACACCATAAATTTGTATGGACTTGGGAAAATTTTAGTGCCGGTCAATTTAAAAACGGCCGGAATGAGTTTTAAGAAATATACCGCAGAGGACAATCATATAAATTCTAAATTCGACAAACAGCCGAATCAGCTGATTCAGGGCCTAAAATATACATCAGATTTCAGGGGACACACTTTTTAATTCGGTCGATAGAGTTAATAGATTTTCATAGCCAAAAAAAAAAAAAAAAAACCTATGCCAGGACGTAGCTCATTAAACAATAATGTCACTACATAACTTATACATTAATAATATTTATACCTTAATAAGTGTATACTAAAAATTATCGGCACAAAAAAAGTAAAAGTTTAAACAATATTACTAAAATAATATAATTTAAAATAAATACCAATGTATCGGATAGAGTGATCTCATTAATTGACCGTTATCATCTTCAAAAACATTTCTACATTAAAAACGAATACATACAATATTAAATTCGGTACATACATTTCGGGGGGCGCACTTGGATTTTCGCGGAAAACGCTTCGTGTCGGGGGACACGCTTTTCTGGGTCCAGAACTGATTGTTATGTCCGTTACGATCGCGAATCACGAATTGAGATCGAATTAGAATCCAGAGCGGATTATGTTACATCAACGTTACACCGTCCGTGATTATTGGGCGTCTAGTACGTATATGAATATTGCACATTATATGATATATCCGATAGCGTTACATGCGTGGGAAACCTGGGTCACAACAATAACAAACGAGCAGAATCAAACAAGATTCGAGAGATACTATGAAAAATATCTGAAGAAACCAGAAGAAACCAAAATACGGGGGAATATGGACGAAGAGAAAAAAAAGAGGTTATAAACATGATAGGGGTTTCACACATTAGTCACAATAAAATGTAAACAAGTATCCTTGTAAGCTTACGAGGATAAGCTGAGCAAGTTATGTATGGCGAGGTCGAGAATAGACAATCAAAGTCACCAACTGGAAGCCGAAAAGTAGGAGACCGCTCGGTCGTTTAAAACATAGATGAATAGACAGAGTCCATAAAGACATGGCCATGCTGAAAATCCTGAACGGTGAAGAACTAACAACAAAGTCAAATAAAGGAAAGTGATGGTTGCAGCAAAGAACATCAACGGTATATAGCATAGATTCAATACTAAGCAAAAAAAAAAAATAAAAAAATAAAAATATTTATATATAAATTAAATATATATTTTTCCGTTTTTCCCGCATTTTTTTCGGATTTGATCTATTTATTGGGGAAATTCCTGGAAAAGTCAAAAAAAATGACTTGTTTTAAGACCTCCACAGTCAGATTTACATTTAGAAAAAGTACTACACTTTAAAATGGAAGCAAAATTTATAGTAGTAAAGTTGTCCACAGAAAAAAAAATAAACATATTTGTAGTACTACAAGCTTCTTCGCTCCACTCAGAATCAAAAATGAATTGAGTTGAATGCAATTTGAAATAAACGTTAATTGATAAAAAAAATAACCTAATACATTTCTGGCGTCCAACTCAAATAAAGGTAACTATTTAAAACAAAATTTAACGCTCACTTAGATTCAAGAATTGGAAATTTAAAAACATTTCCCTCAAAAAAACAACAAAAAAAAGTTTTTCCATTTACTCGGTATTTTTTTTTCTACGTTTCTAAAAACGCGACGATCAATTTTGATTTATAGGACGGATGATTTATCGACAATGGCCCTCCCACGCCGTGATAACGCGATCGTTTCAGTTCAGGTACTTTAACGTCTTCGTTTTTCATGAAATAAAGTAATACGTCTCCGTAAGACCATCCCAGATTTCCGGCATAAGCTAACCAGTCAAAGTCCCTCACATTGCCCCTTGTGTACATGTCGTTGATTATCGTGCTGTCTCCTAGTGTTTTGCCGGCCGGCCAGAAATAGACCTTTTCCGTATGCCCTTTACACGCGTGCGGCTCTTTATCCGTGCGGTACGCCCAATCGTAATCTGTAAACTGCAAATAGTGCGCAATGGCTGGAAATGAATTTATCAGCGACTCTTCTCCGCCGGCCTCCAACAGTAGTATATTCCATTCCGGCACTTCTGCTAACCTCCGAGCGACAGGCGCTCCTGCGGCTCCAGCTCCCATTACTATAAAGTCATACTCGATCAATAGCAATTTGTTGGCAAATTAAGCATCTTTGCAGAACTGAATCAAGTTTTTACGATACTTGCGTCCCGTCTCATCTAAATATATTTTCGGCCCATCTCAAACACGTGATATGCAAACAAATACCGACGATAATATGTCCAACGTCCATTTTTGTAAGATAAATGTAAAAAAAAAAAAAAAAAAAAAATGGAAAAAAATCTATAAATTATATATTATCTAGTAAATATTCATAAACTATTATATAGTCTTTATGAATATTTTTAACGGAATTACATTAAAAAACTCCAAATTTAAAATAACAAATTAATTATTTTCGTAAATTTTCCCGTACTTTCCACATATTATTCGATTTTGCTGAAATGCTTAAAAAAACTACCAAAAACAAGAAATTTACTAGTTGATACCTACCAACTAAAATAAAACTTCAACCAAAAATTATCTTGTTCTTCATCTATTGGAGTAATATTTATGGTAGAAAACATTAGCCGTACAAGTTTTTAATAATGAAATTGTTGTGCTGTAATTCGAAAGAAAATCGTATAATTTAACATTTTTGGTTTTTTCAGATTATTATGAATAATACTTTATGCATCAAAAAACAAAATAACCCACTTTTTATCATTTTTCATGGGAGCAGTTTAAAGTTTTCTAAGTTAAATTCTTATTCTGTGTTTCAATTATTTAATATTTATAATCTTGAGTGTTTGGAAGGAAATTAGTTTTTTTTTTTATATATATATATATATATATATATATATCTTTCTGTGACTTGCCTTAACTTACCTTAGTTTACTATTTTATCTGGCTAAAGTCTTTTTTCAAGGGAAAAAATTAATTTAATAAAACGTAACTCGAGTTACGTCCTTTTTCGACAGGAAACAATTAATTCTATGAAAAGAAAAAATGTACAATATTACCTATAAACTGACCAGTTTTTTTAATGCGTAAAATTCTAAATTACATTCCAATATTGGTAATACCCGATACCATGGTTACTATCTTATTTGCACTGGTTTTAAAAATTTAAGCTGAGTTACGTTTTTTTTCGCAGGAAATAATTATTATTTTAAAAAAACGTAACTAAAGATGCGTCTACTATTCACGGAAAGACAATATTGGGAGTTTATAATATTCGATTTTTCTAAGCTCCTTGGTAGGTTTGAGATACTACCATTTTCGGAAGAAACAAGAAAAAAAAAACCAAACAAGATAAGCGAATAAATTGAGAAATTATAAAAAAACGAGTTAAATCATTTTTCGTTGAGAGCGTCGAATTACGTTAAACGAAACCAAATCGATATCTTATTATTTATCGATTGAAGTAATATTTCTAGTAAAAAACATAAGATGCAAACTATTAAAACCAATAAAATCAGTAACACCGCGGCGTGCTTTAAATATTTGGAGTTTTTCGATAATTTTTTTTCTGGTTTTTCCCAATTATTATAAAAACCCCCTCTTGATTTTAATATGAAATCAAAAATTTAATTCCTCTATGCACCAACCAGATAAAATTTCCTTTCATAAAAGATGCTACACTAGATACATTGGAGCAAATTTTTTAATTGAAAAGTTGCTCACAGGCGCACCAAATGTAACAAAAAAAAATGCAAAAACATAAAATCGATATATTGATTGTTTTTAAATTGAATCAGAAAAAATTAATCCCAATAAGTAAAATCAACATTAAAATCGTACAATATGATATACGTAAAAAGATATTAACCATTATAACGGACGATTTAGTCATAATATTATTCTGAAATATGCATTTACGTCTTCTAAATATATATATAAAAAAAAAATGCATTTGTACATTTCACATTTGTTTTTGGATTGTGGGATTCCTATATCCCACAACATCGTAAAATATGCAATTATATTCAAATGGAAATGGTATTATTTTAAATACGACACTCTCGATATATAAATCAAATTATTATCTAGGTAAACATAAAATTCAATATATACAAAACAAATTACGGAATTTCATAAATAACCGAGCCTTGTACATATTATATTTAGGTAGAATTTTTCATCTCGCATAAAAAAACCAATATGGTATCACAAAATCAATCAACAAAAGACTGTTCTCACGAATATACCTCTATACCAATATACTTAACATAGTCTCACTTTGTAATTCAACCGTTCAACTGTACTATGAAACAAGTAAATGAAGACCCCGCTTCTCTAAAATATAAACATTTCCTCATAATATTTTTAATACTATAATTATTTACCTACCATAATTATCATACTAATTAAAAACGAGCGTATAAATTACGCCCGAACCGGAAAAAATAAAAAAATAAACTAAAGACGTATAAAACCAAGTTTGAACACTATATTATGATAATGGTCAAAATGCAAACAAAATTATTATTACTTTATTATTACTTATCACTTAATTATTACTTATTATTACTTATTATTACTTACGAATAGTCTACAGCTAATAGTCCTGGAACCGTGACATGCAGGGTTCGTGAAAGGGTTTTTTTGATCACGCTTCTGATGGAAGTCTTTGAGGTAAATTGTTATAACTTTATACACTATAACCACGGTCATAGTAAATATAGGCAGGTATAAAAATTATAATAAATATATTTTAAGTAAATAATTTTATATTTTTATTAAATTCGGCATATACAAATTTGTACCAGACCGGTTGTTTTCATTTTTAAAATAATAAACTATTATTTTCATACATTTTTCCGTTTCTTCACAATTATGAAAACCGCTTGGAAAATCAAAAAATGACCCCCTTAAGGTACAAACTAAATGAAATTTCCTTTCGGAAAGGTGCTACGCTTGATAAATCTGAGCAAGATTTTTATATACAAAATAAACATCATTGTATAACCAATATATTCCTTGCTTCGCTCAAAAAATCTAAAAGAGTGAAAACACAAAGTACGGATAACAGCTATACAATTATAATACAAAATTATATAAAACTATACAGTTTTTAATGATTACTTTTACGAACGAGTATTTACAAAACGCGCTGTTTTTCACACGAAAATATTCAATACGTTCGCACGGGTGAAGTAGTATAATACAGCTAATGTATTTATAAAACTAACATAATTTTCATGAAGACATGGAATAAATGCAAACACAATTCCTATTAATTACATAATGGGTAATAAATAATCCTTTAGCCTAAAATTTTTAATTTATAACTGAATGATTTTTCGGTAGATATATAGATAGATAAATCACGTTTATACGAAACACAAACCGATGACACATTTAGTCCTTACACATTCAGTTTTTTAATCTTTAAAAAAGACCATTAGAACTACTATGTATTTAACCAAGAAGACTTTATTAGATCTGCTCCCTTTTCGCCAATCATATAGGCCGGCGCGACGGTATGGCCCCCTGTTATTGTGGGCATGATTGAGCAATCGATCACTCTCAGTCTGTTCACCCCGTAAACCATTAACTGGGGATTCACTACAGCGTTCCGATCCCATTCTGGACCCATTTTGCAAGTTCCGCACTGATGATGAAACTGCATGGTAATCGTTTCAACACAACACGCCCAGTATTGGTCGGTACCAAATTCCAAATGCTTACAGTCGGCCATTGGCATGTGCTGCAATCTGGATCCATACCTTTGAAAAGCCTTCGTTTTGCTGAGCTCGATGATCATCTTTATACCCTCCACTATACGCATCAGGTCCTTGGGATTTGCGAAAAAATTCGAGTGGATAACTGGTTTGTCAAACGGGTTGGCACTGCGAAGCCGGATCTAAAAGTCGATCAAATAATAAAAATGTAAAGAAACATCTATACCGTAAGTTGATTGATACACAGAAAAAAAAACCGTACCTGACCCCTGCTCTCTGGATACATCAACATGGGCCAAATCGACCACGAGTCGTTCATAAAGGTACCCTTAAACACGTCATTGTATATTTTGTCTGGTATCTCTAACGTTCTCCGTAACATATGAGCGCCTAAACCATGTTCCGCCGTCAAGCTAGCCGGTAGAAATATATATTCGATGTCCGGCAAATCTCCTTCATCAGTGTTGTATTTGGTTTTCACGTAACCAACGCCTTCGATGGGTAATACTGATAACCAACTTTCCCCTTCGAGCGTTTTTAACAATTCCTCAAAAATATTGCGGATAATTCTATCCATTTTAAATGATATCGTTTCGTTGGTGACGAATCCAAACCCGATAAACCCTGGATGTTCTTGTAAGTTGTCACCTACCCGCAAATCGTTTATAGTTTTTATCCCCAATGGCTCCAGATGTTCTTTAGGACCGATTCCGGAAAGCATCAACAATTTAGCCGAATTGAACGAACCCGCTGATATTATTACTTCCCTTTTGGCTAATATTTTCCGTTTTCTTTTATTTTTAGTGAACTCCACGCCGTACGCGGTTTTCGTGTTCTCGTCTATAAGTATTTTTGTTACGTATCCGAATTCGACTATGTGCAAATTATCTAAATTTTCTCGTAGGTAAGCCGCCGCAGACGTAACCCGTCTACCGTTGGACGTCGTACTTTGAATTCTCGAAAACACTACGTGACTGCNTATTGACAACGGCCCTCCTACGCCGTGATAAGGAGATTGCTCCAGTTCGGGTACTTTTATGTCTTCGTTTTTCAAGAAATACGGCAGCACGTCCTCGTAAGACCATCCCGGATTGCCGGCCTCGGCCCACCGATCAAAGTCTCTCGAATTGCCCCTCGTGTAAATGTTGTTATTGATTATCGTACTGCCTCCCAGTCCTTTACCCGCCGGCCAAGGGCAAACCTTACGCGTATGCCCTTTACATGAGTACGGTTCTTTTTCCGTGTGGTACCCCCAATTGTAATCGGTGAATTGTAAATAGTGCGCAATGGCCGGAATCGAAGTTATCAAGGATTCTTCACCGCCGGCCTCCAGTAGTAGTATATTCCATTCCGGCACTTCGGCCAACCTTCGAGCTACCGTCGCTCCCGCCGCCCCAGCCCCGACTACTATGAAATCATACTTGTCCAATAACGGTTTGTTGCCGAACTGAGCGTCTTCACGGAAATGAATCAAATTTTTGCGGTATACCTGTCCTAAATTTTCGAAAATATTTAAAGAAAACGTACTAGCAACTTGCATACATATTCCGAGAATAAAAATGTGCATGTTATAATATATCTGTAAAAAAAAAAAAAAATAATAATAACTTTATCATTATGGTAATAATGACGATTTTAATAACAATATTGAATTAAAACGTTTTTAAGATTTTACGCAAGCACTGTAACTAATTTGACGATTAACTGTTTTAACGTTTTATATAGGTAATGTTTTTTTTCAAAATACTTTTATTTGGACACTTTGGATACCGAATAATACACAAAATTCGACTTTTAATCTTTTTAATATTTTCATCAAATACACGGGTACTAACGTGTTCCGAGGAGGGGCACAAAGGGAATGCTCCCTGGACTTTATTTTTTAAAAATGTTTTACAAACAACCATTTCACGTTAATTATGTTTTGTACCACACAGTGATTATCAAGATATTTTGTAAGATTTATCTTTATTGTCATCCGAGCGTTTAATTAATTTTTAAATAGATCCCGAGCAAGAGTTACCAAAAAACTGCTTTAGTTTTATTGCAGAATCGATATTATAAGAAAATTTAAAAAATGAACACAAAGTGTTTAGAACTAGTGTTGTATTTTTGCATGATTAAAATTAATTTCCGGTCAATCATCGTGACACAAGTATTATCAATGAAAGAACGATCAGATTTAACTCAGGCGCATTACTAAAGAATGAATCTGAAATTGAACTGTATCTAGTATTTTAAAATTATTATTAAGCTTTGATTTAGTGTTTGAATTGCAGAATCCCAAATGTATTTTTGGCTTACAAAACAGTACTATTATTTTCAACGATGGGTACGACTTAGAAGAATAACTTCATAGGCTTATTCTTTTAAATTTTAAAAAAAAATATTGTTATTAATATTGAAGAAGCGATATGTGTGTGTTTGGTTGTTCTTCACACTTACTAAAATCGCACTTCATGGTTTAAATAAAACAAATAAATGGTAGTATCACAATAGGTATTAGTTGAGTTATTTAGTTAATCATTCATTTAAATAAAGTGCTTTTAATCTAAAATTCATGAAATAATATTAATAATATGTTTTTTTTTTTTTTTTTTGTGAGCATAATGGTTATGTCTACAAAAATTAATTTTATAAAATTTACTACATTTTGCAATTTGCTTACAAATACTGAATTTAATGTGACTAAAAAAAAATAATTACCTTAAATTTCCCAAAAATTAATAAAATTCATACAAAATGTATTTCTTGAATTTGTTTTTAAAATATTATCTAATTGAGATATTTACTATAAATATTACTGTTAAAACAATGACAATATATTGCTTTAATCAAAAATCAACAGGTCTTTTTTGTAGTAAATTTTATCGAGTTGGTACACTATAAAGGTTATTTTTTGAGTAACTTTTAAGTTATTTGCACAGTTGGGAGAAAATGTATAATGGAATAACAAACCCACGTAAATCTGGTACTACAAACGTAGCACAACAATGAAAAAGCACTCTAACAATCTCTATACTAGGATTTGTGGATCAAATTGTTTGACCATATAGAAATACTTAAAAATTTAACACAAAGCACGTAATAAGTTGTAGTTAGTGGTAAAATAAAATTTGATCATAATTCGGTAGATTTTTTATTTTTTATATGAATTTTAAAATCAAATACATATATACGAAAATTGTTAAAAATTACGGAATTTCAAAACTTATATCACAGTAATTTGTTCAGAATAATTGTTCGATAGCAATGATTATGCATTACGCACAGATATAAATTAAGTTTTCTACCCTATATATTTTATCTTTCCAATTTCCTACCTATAACAGTGACCTAATTAACAGTATATTCTACATAACGACGATTTACAAAACACCCACAGTATTCTGGCGTATCTTTTTCTTTCGCACGTTCCTCCTCTATGCGATATCATGGCCCCTCCTCCTAAAGTCCGTAAACAGTTGCACTTAAATAATACTAACATTTTGTGTAGGTACTTACATTGTGTCGTAACGAAATGTGTGCTACGTGACTAAAAAACCACAACTTTTAAATCATATTAAATCTATTCGTTTAAAACATACAATAAATTACATCACTTTCTTTATTTACTAAAACCAAAGGAAATTTATCGAACTAACTATTTACAACGCGTGCAGTTTTTCACTGTTAGCGGTCAACTGCTGCATCATTAAACGTGATACGTACGCATTGTGTACATCTATATTCCATAAAAATTCGTATAGGTTAACAAATTACAATTGAGCGGACCTACCAAACCAGTTTTGCACGCAGTGTTTACAATATAACGGTCTGAAAACATTATTATGGCGCGCCCGGAAAGGTCAGTGAAGGCACAAATATCAAGCAATTTTAATAGATTGCCAAACATTGTCAATGACACACGCACAAGCACTTCCACGTTAAGTAAAAATTACGGTCTAATATGGTCTAGTATTACGGTGTGATATGTTTGCAACTATTTTATAATATCGTAAATAGATTTTCTGTTGTTACGTCATATGAGATATTTATTCGAAAATTAACAATAGAATAATATTATCATAATATATTACATCGCAAAGTATACGACAAACATAAAGACAACGTAATCTGTCCTTGTATTTGCGTAGTAGTATACATATATCACGTATCAGTGTCGGATATGCTGCCTACAAACAGTAGGAAATTTTCTGGCTTGTAGATTCGAAGCGTATTGAGGGATGTATTGATGTTTTTTTGTTATTTTTATTTTTTAAATTTATCTGTGAACGACTTTTCTACCAGAAATCTTGGTCATTTTTTTGATTTTCCAACCTGAAAATAAAAATTCTAGTTTTCCGTGTTCACGGGGGCAATATTTCAGTAAGTTAATATAACATCTAATATTTAAGGCATGTATATTTTATCTTTGTTAAGGTTAGGTTAGGCCTCAATTGCATGGTAATAAACAAAAAAAAAAAAAAATAAACAAAAAAGAGACACCGTTTTATATTTTATAGTCATTGACCATTCTTATTTTAAGGGCCGCAAGTATCAAACTTGAAGTTTGCCACTCCAATCGCCTGCTTGATCTGCGTATATTATAATCCGCCACTGTTACGTATATACTCAGTAACTCAATTGTTTAACCAAAAAGACTTTATCAGATCGGATCCTTTTTCGCCGATCATATAGGCCGGTGCGACGGTGTGACCACCTGTTATTGTTGGCATGATCGAACAGTCGATCACTCTCAGTCTGTTCACTCCGTAAACCATTAACTGAGGATTTACTACAGCGTTCCGGTCCCATTCTGGGCCCATTTTGCAGGTTCCGCTCTGGTGATGGAACTGCATGGTCATGGTTTCGACACAACACGACCAGTATTGATCAGTACCAAATTCCAAATGCTTACAACCGGGCATTGGGTTATCGTATAACTTGGACCCGTACTTTTGAAACGCCTTGGTCTTGCTCAAGTCGATTATCATCTGTATGCCCTCTACTATGCGCTTCAGGTCCATGGGATCGGCGAAAAAATTCGCGTTGATCTTCGGGCTATCAAACGGGTTGGAACTACGGAGACGAACCTAAAAGACGAGATGAAAAAAAATTACTAAATGTTATCTTTTACAAATCTATATGGACCGAAAGGTGCTTATAGTTATACATAGTATTATTAACAAATCATTAATACTTGTCCCCTGCTTTTCGGATACATCAACATGGGCCCGATCGTCCACGAGTCATTCAATAAAGCACCTTTTAACATTTCATGATATAATTTATCTGGTACTCCCATCGTTCTCCGGAGCATACTTCCGCCTAAACCGTCTTCCGTGGCCATACTACCCGGTAAAAATATATATTCGATGTCCGGCAAATCTCCTTCGTCATTATTGTATTTCGTTTTCACGTAACCAACGCCTTCGACCGGTAAAACTGATAACCAACTTTTCCCTTGGTACTCTTTAAACAGTTCTTCGAAGATATTTCGATACACTCTATCCACGAATAAAGATAGTGGTTGATCGATAACGAAAACCAGCCCGGCAAATCCGGGATGTTCTTGTAGATTGTCACCTACCCGCAAATCGTTTATAGTTTTTATCCCCAATGGCTCCAGATGTTCTTTAGGACCGATTCCGGAAAGCATCAACAATTTAGCCGAATTGAACGAACCCGCTGATATTATTACTTCCCTTTTGGCTAATATTTTCCGTTTTCTTTTATTTTTAGTGAACTCCACGCCGTACGCGGTTTTCGTGTTCTCGTCTATAAGTATTTTTGTTACGTATCCGAATTCGACTATGTGCAAATTATCTAAGTTTTCTCGTAGGTAAGCCGCCGCAGACGTAACCCGTCTACCGTTGGACGTCGTACTTTGGATTCTCGAAAACACTACGTGACTGCCCGGAGCGTTATAGTCGCCGATTCGCATACCCACCTCGGTCGCGGATTCTAAAAACGCGTCAGCTAGTTTTGATTTGAACGGCGGATAGCTTATCGACATCGGCCCTCCTACCCCATGATAACGCGATCGTTTCAGTTCGGGTATCTTTATGTCTTCGTTTTTCAAGAAATACGGCAGCACGTCCTCGTAAGACCATCCCGGATTGCCGGCCTCGGCCCACCGATCAAAGTCTCTCGGATTGCCCCTAGTGTACATGTTGTTATTGATTATCGTACTGCCTCCCAGCCCTTTACCCGCCGGCCAGGGACACACCTTGTTCGTAAGTCCTTTACACGCGTGCGGTTCTTTTTCCGTGTGGTACGCCCAATTGTAATCGGTGAATTGTAAATAGTGCGCAATGGCCGGAATCGAAGTTATCAAGGATTCTTCACCGCCGGCCTCCAACAGTAGTATATTCCATTCCGGCACTTCGGCCAACCGCCGGGCGACCGTCGCTCCCGCGGCCCCAGCCCCGACCACTATGAAATCGTATTCGTCCAATAACGATTTGTTGCCGAACTGAGCGTCTTCGCGGAATTCGATCAAACCTTTACGGTACGCCCGTCCTAAATATTCGAAAATGTTGTTTGCGGAACAACCCGAACCGGCAATCAGTAGGCAAATACCATAACATATAAAACGAACTGGCATACTGGTGAGTTTTCTATACAGAATAAAAAAAAAAAAAAGTATAGGTTTTTAGTGCGTTAAATATGATTAGGTAATCGAGTTTTTTTTATTTATTTTATATCAGTCTAATCGATTATTCTCATGGCTTTTTTCGCCTTTAACAATTTAGACCCCCCTCCTAGAACTATATTGGACTTTCCACTAAACTCGTGGCATACACTGGATAATGTTGAGGCATTGATCGATTTAAAAATTATGTAAATCTAACTTGTCGTCAAAAGTATTTGAAATTCGACTTTAAACATTTTGTTTAGGATATTCATTGTCCGTGTAATACTATCCGTCATAGTAACTGCAGGGTGGGTGTACGTTCCTGATATATTTGTGTATGGAACGCAACTCGCCGTCACCGAATTCACAGAAATTTTAATGATATAATCACTGTAAAATGATTAGTATATAGTAAACGGTTTCAGACGAGTTCTTATTTTGGATGTTTTCCAAAATTCGAAAAATCTGTGTCCAATCTTGGAGTTTTAACATCGTTATCATATTATTAGTAGCCATACCCGAAATTGTTTAGCATGCGCCATACGAGTATCTACAGATTCTTTCTGTGAACGCCCACCCAGAGGTTTCAATCGCACTATTTTATCTTATCGAAAACTTTTTATTTTATTTGCTTAATATTTGCAAAAGAAAAATCTGTTCATTAATCAGTTGCAAAAATTTAAACACGTTTTTTATTATTTTTTAATTAAGTAAAAATAAATTGTAGTCAAGGTTTTAATATTAACGCATAAAAAAATATTTTTAAAAAATCTGCTATCTTCAAAATGTATTAACGACTTTTTTAGTTCGACAGTGATAAAAATTACTATTTTATTAAAATTTCAAATTTCAAAGTTTTTATCGTTTGATGAAGAACATAGATTTTATTAACAATATAAAACAACACAATTTTTGTATTTGCAAATTTTTACTTACCTTGATTTTATTACGACCGACGGCAGGAATGAAAAAAAAACACAAATTAAGGATATTCTGTCGTCGTCCTATTTATAATCTATTAGCCTTATTGAAATTATTAGTTAAACACACTTTTCTGTTATAGGTATATACCTGTATTATGATAAACACTTAACTTGAACTATTATACATCGCAACAGAGTTTTACTTATAAACGTTCACATAATAGTATTATGTAGATAATCCGCTACTAATTATACGAAAAAATAAAATTTAATTAAAAAATACACTGACTCTTTCCGAAATTTTGTTCACAGTACAGGAGACTCGTTTTATTTACTTTTTCCCGTTTCGTTACTGACAAAAAAAAAAAAACCAGTTTGTTCTATGAATCACTTATATATATTTTATTATTGTACACGGAGTACATATGTGACCATGGATAAACAACGTTTCCAGCGTACTTGAACGAAAAATTATGGCCTTGTGTACACCATAACTGGAAACTTTTCGTACAAAACCCAAGTGCGAATATTGATAATGAATTCCCAATTGAGATATTTAACTAGGCACTATATTATTGGAAACGTTTTAGATTGTAAATGGGTTTTACTACGAGGTGCGTGTGTTTTTTTTATGTCTGTCATAAACATATTATTGACCCGGAGACGTAAGAGCTGTCTTGTAGCATTCTAGTTCTAGGTAAAAGTACACAGATACATAAATGCATGAGAGACATCGACGAGATCATTTATGGGAAATACTTGTAATTTTTCTGATAATTAGGAAACTCGAAAAACATTGGATAAACAGTAATTCGTTCGTTAGACATAATCGTGCAAACTAGTAAAATGGAAAAATAATAAAAACATCAAATTTCTATGAATCTATGAATTTTTATAAATTAATATTGTTATTAATTGAACAAACGTTGATGATAGGCATCTGTGGCTTGTCCAGAATGTACATACTTGAAATAGTCTACATATTAACCCTTTTACACGTGATACAATTTTCAAAATATTTTGCCCATTTTTGAGCTATTTATAGCCATTTTAAATTATCTAGTTTTTATTTAGTTTTAGGCGATGAACTTGAAAGGGCTTTTAAGCTGAATTAAGAAAGAGCTAATATGCTTTCAATGACACAGCCATAAAGGGCAAAAAGGGAGTGTTTTGGGTGTCTGGACACCCATATTTAAGTAATATAAATGTGTTAAAAAACCTGTTCTTTTTTTTTAATGTGATACCCCACTTCAAAAAATCCTGGTTGTGCCGATGTATGGTTTACTATAATACCCCATGGTCACGGTCATTCTGATATAATGGTAATTAAATGCGATAGCTCACTCTTTAACAAAGACATTAGTCTTTGTTAATCATGTTTATGCATAATATAATAATTATTAAATTATACATAATATACTGTATAAGAAACCAAATTATATTAGCGGATTATATTAGAAGACAAGAAACGGCAAAATCATTATTTAAAAAAAACTTAAGATTTATGAACAATGGAGGTTTTTAAGGTCACAGCAAAACATCACGGTTAATATAAATACAAAGTATTCCAGAGCAAATAATCCGCCTCGTTTTTTAAAACTTTTAGTGTATTTTCACACGGAATTTAAAATACATATACGTAACGTATACAAAGAGTATTTGTTATTATGACTTAGATACACGTTTTTCTTTTTCGAATTGTTCACATCGTTTAATATCATTAAATATTGCCGCGTCTAACCTTCATCGGTCTCACCTATACAGATACCTAAATAGAAAAATAATATTATTGAACAAAAATACGACAATGACATTATTAATATAGTCCGAAGTAATGTTGTCTAAAAACAACTGTAATATGATGCTGATATTCTCTAAAAATAAAACTATAAATATTTTCCTTATTTTCTCTTTAAAATTAGAAAAATATAGCAAAAAAAAATAATAATAACAAACAATGGAATAACAATCACTTAGCAATGGTTAATCGTAGCTTACAGATTCAAACAAATACGAATTAATTTCCTCTCAATATCATACCTTTCCAACTTCTTACCAACAACAGTGGTTGCACCCATTGTGCAAAGTAATTCCGTCTTTTTGATTATTACAATTTACAAATTATTTTAAAATATGCCAAATATACTAAATTTTCCCTAATCCCTGAAATATTTTCAAATAAGCAAAAAAAAAAAATTATTTTTTCCTGTGATGTGAACTCTATAAAAAATAATTTTTTTTTACTCTCATAAGAGTGCACATTAAACTCAGTTACTCATTTACAACATTACTCAGTCACAATATTAAAAAAACGTGATAATCGCATTCATTCGCACACGTCATAATGAAAGCTAGGTACTATACTTCAAACGTATAACTAGATGTAGTTACCTATCCTATAATAAAACGACGTTACCACAATTTTAGTTTGAATATTAGTATTTAAAAAAGAGAGCTTATACTAGGGACGGGAACAGTCACTATATTATACATCGGATACATATGGCTTAAAGTACAAAACACGAATAGAATAGCTAATAGAACAGATGTTGAGTTGATAATTTATCGTATTCCTATGAATATAATAACAGTAATAACAATAATGCAATAAAATATAAAATATCCATTTACAAACGATGGCGTTTCTAGCATTTCACTTGTTTACGACTCACAAAGTGAACAGTCCGTAATTATTTTTTTTTTTTCGAATATCAGTGTTTTTCATTTCCGTTTATAGGTACCTGTACCTACCGTTTACCGTTTTTGGCACTTTTCGTGCCAAAAAAAAATGTGTAACGGGTAATCGATATCCCTGGTATTTTGTTTTCAGCGAACTAATCGTCGGATCATTGTGACGGTTATGTTCTGTTTTGATGAGGCGTCGTTCGTACGGTATGCATACGCATTTTCCCGTTAACTATCAATATTTCGGAAATTAGATCTGTTTCAAGTATGAAATATAAACGCCGCCGGGACACCAATCTATAATATGAGTGACACGGTACACATTGAAGTCACCAGTAATACGTACCTAAACTCCGGGTTTTATTATGTGAAAAATTAAATATGTTTAAACATGGTGCAATTTCTCCAATAACAAAAACTAAAAAATGATTTAAGTCCAAATTATACACCATCTCAATATTATATACTCGTAGAGACAAACGTTATACTTTTACTATAATACATGTTACGATAATTTTGTTTCAAGCAATGGGCCGGACAGCCAAGAAAAAGTTATAAAAGACTGCACCGCATGACGCAATAACATTATTTTGTTTGGCTCTGAAATGAAACAATAACGATTGATCGAGATGATCAATCGTCATTGCTATTTAATTTTAATAATCTAAATTATTGGTCGAGATGGTCAATAATTTACTCTCGTATTGATATTTTTCGTCAATCGTTGACTTATGAAACGCGTTTCTTCTCGTAGACCATTAAGTGTATCGGATACGTGTTTTCACTGTTACGAAACGTCTGCAGTGTCTTATGCTAATTATTTAAGACAAATCCGGTGGCGTAATAATGACTATATTTTGAGGCCTGTGCCTTGACTAATTTCGGTCATTTGGGTGGATCAAAGCGTATGACTGCAGCAGAACCATGTATAGAACAGCGAGTTTGAAAAAATTTACTCTAATAATAAATAACCGTTTACTACTATATCGTTCATAAGGGGCGTGCTGATTAATAGGCAATTGTTGGAATTCACATTAAAAAAAAAAAAAAAACACTTGTGTGCAGCGAAACTCCATAACTAAAGTCATGTTTTCTCATAGCTAACTCATTGTCGTTAGAATATTAATATTTTATAGGGTATATAAACCCCGGTTATTTTGGTCAAAACGTGCAATTTGAGCATACAAATCGTTGTAGATGGAGTTGAAAATTGAAACCCCTAAAATCGCATCATTGATATGCACGGTATAAGAACGTAATGCATACACAAAATTGCATCTCCCTGGATTTATTTTCGTGGTTTATAGGGTTGTACAAAGATGAACACATTCTCCTCTCGCAACAACATGGTAAAATTCTAAT